ACCCCCTGTATTTCATTGCACCACAAGGTAAATAATTAGACAATACCTCCAGAAGACAGCAGGCTGGGACATTTGTTCAAGTTTCCCAGAGACCATCTGAATTTGTACTTTTCATTTATACCATTTTTCTTGTAGTTATTGATGATGTTTCTCGTTTGCTTTTATTAGATGCAGGTGTTTTCTGCCCTTCAGCTGGGAACACTTTTCCTTTTCAGCCAACTCCAGTCCTACTTTGTGCCTCAGTCACCTTTTGACTGTGATACTGGAGAGAAAAGGAGGAAAAAAAAACAAAACACGAGAGTGAGAGATACTGATTTTTGCTGCCTCAGCAGATGTGTGTTAAAGTGTTTTAGTGATTCAGCTAGTGCGCCTGCCTGGGGCCAAAGGAGAGGCATTGTCTGAATCTAAAACAATTAATAACAAAAAAAGAATGTGAGCAGCATGGAGCAGGGGAAGGTGGAGGTGGAAAGCGAGCAAATCACAGGGATATTCTGAGCTTGCTGAGCACCTCAGTAAGATCTCCAACCATTTCCAGCAGCGGCGGTGTGGATGCAGTCAAGACCCTTTGTGACGCAGGAGCCTCACTAGCCCTGTTGTGCAGACGGGGTAGGGGGGTGGGAGGGGTAGGGGGGTGAACTAAAGCTGGTTTTGCAATTCCTCCTGGGCCCTTCAGAGCCTCTGGACGAGGGCCATGCTCCTCCCCAGAGATGAGCTGTGCTTCCCTGATATCCCAAGCAGGATGAGAAGAGGGGAGATGCTCAGCCATGCTAAGGGACCTGCTCAGGCCCTGCATGCTGCTCAGGACCTGCTTGCTGCACTGACCATGAAGGCCACAAAGGCACAACAGGGAATTTCTCCTCATGATTAAACATTTGTCTTTCCTGCTATTAGCAAAAGAAACTAATTTTGTCTGTGCTCAGGCAAGAGGAATTTGCCCCCTGGGCAACATCCAGTACAGACTCTGGGCTCTGGTCCTTATGAAAAGGTCCCAGAGCTGATGTCCCTCACAACTCGCAGGGTGACACAGGTGGGTGATGGAGGCACCCCAGCCACCATCGTCTCTGGAAATGCTTGCAGCAGAGACCTGGTAATGTGAAACGAGGCCAACTCAGCCCTGCAGAACACCCAGGCACTGATCTGGTGAGGGGAGACTCCAATTCCTACATGCAGTTTAAAATTGATACCCCCATGAGGCATGTTAGAAAACAAAACATTGATGCTGTCTTCGCTGGAAGCATAGGTTGCTTTGTTTTTTTAATGACACAGAAAGCTCCCTGCAAAGATAGTTTCCTTCAGCCTAGCCCTTGCTGGATATGGAAGGAAGTCCTTGGAGGTGACTCTCCAATGTATCCAGTATGCCACCTAGCCCTCGCTAGCTCTACTACAGCACTGCTCAGCTCAGGCTGCTGGAAAAGACTCCCAGCGGGAAGCTGCCAGCACCTCTTGTAGAGGTCCTTCCATCCAAGGGAAGGACAAATATCGTGGGGAAGGAATCAGGTTTTACTCCTGACTCTTAACCCAGCCTCCGTGCAAAGCGCATTGGTATCTACACCACCTGCTGTTGCCTGCCTTATCTTTCTGTGCTTCTTGCTCAGGCTTGCCCCATCAGTTCCAATTTTGTCACTTGTCATTGTGCCCTCTGGGATTACTCCAAAGATGAAATATTGGCTCTTTTTCATAATGATGCTTGAAGCGCTCGATTTCACAACCTGTTGGTATTTTTTAATACTTGCACACGAGAAAAAAAAACAACAAATAAACCAACTCCAAAAAACACCATTCTCCTGTATAAGCACTATTTTCCTAACACGACCTCCACAAACTGGATAGTGGTTCTGGAGGGAGAAGAAAAACATATCTCAGTCATGTATCTGTGATTCAGTTCATAATCTTTCTAGACTACCTCAACTCGTTTGATATTCTAAGTGCCCCCAGAACACAAAGATTAGCCCAAAGTGATTAAAACATATGTTTCATCCTCTTTATCATGTCCAAGAAAGCCAGTGCTTCTGTACATTACAGAGAATGTCATAATGAATTGTGACGTATCTGTGATACAAAGAATGGTAGCAGCTTTCCAAATAACTACTTCTCCTTTTTTGCAACAAAGAACCATATGTAACACATGGAGCCTATAGCAGTGAAGTGTATCAGAAGATGCGAATAGAAACCTTAACTTTTTCTGCTTGTTCATTCCCCCAAAATAAGAAAACATATCTTATAAAGCGTTATTGTGACCACCCTTGGAAGAGAACAAGCCACAAGAAATGAGACCTTTGTTAGCTGCAGGCTCTCCTATAGCTCATGTACAACTGCTTGCTGCCTCACTGCTGCCTTTTTTTCCTGGGTAGTAGATTTTTTTTTTATTTTTATTTTTTTTGATCACCAGCAAAAATGTCAAAAAGCAAAAAAAAAAAAAAAAAAAAAAAAAAAAAAAAAAAAGCCAAAAAGGGAGGAGTGCAGACAGCATGTACCAAGCATTTATCTGCAGCTTTATCCCAATTGCTGGACTCAGTGCTAGGATCCTCGTGGTTGAGTCCACTTTCATAATCTGGCAGTAAACCTGCCGTCAGGGCACATCTCATGACTAAAACTTTGCCATCATCTTCTGGTTTGAGAATCAGACAATGCATCCAGGTGTGCTTTCATGGATGAAAGTCCCAGTGCAGCCTTGCAGCTCAGTGTAGGAGGTAAGCTAAGATGCCCTCAAGACAACCTCACACCACCTGGAAAGCCCAGGAGAAAGCTCCCGGACAAACTAAAATTAGGGCAGCTGCCCCAGGGCTGCCTCGCAGGATCCCTGCCCCACAGCCATCCAGCCATGCCCAAGCCTCCTGTGCCAGGGCTTGCAGCTGGGCTGGATAGAAGCAGCTCCATACATGCCTCACTACTCTGCATCCCACAGGTTGCAGTGGGAGTGAAACCTCTCCCCCATCCCTCCCATGCTTTCTCCATACTAGACATTATTTGGGATGTAATCTTTGTTACAGGGTAGAGAAAAGAAGAAGGAAAGCCAGTTCTCCCCTGTCCTAAGCCCTTTTGCAAAGTGCTTCCAGATTTCCAGATGAGGAGTGTTATGTTATCTCTGCCCAGTGTTATGTTCTGCAAGGCACCCAGTCAGACCAGTAGCAGATCCCCACAAAACTCAGCAACAGGATGCAATTAATAAATAATAAAATGCTGCAAAAGTCCTAAGTATCAACCAGAAAAACTATTTAAAAATGCTTCTAGATAAAATGCCAGGGGGTTGTTTTTCTTACCGTAGGGGTGCCTATTTTGCAGTGGTTAGCTACGATCTAAGCAGAGATTTGGGTATTATCTAATAAAACCTCTGGAAAACCTGCTGATTCAAAGAAAAGGGGAAAAGCTCAGAAATGTGCCTTTCCTTTTTGAAAAGAGGGGTTGAAAAAAAGGACAGGAGGGAGCCTATCTTTACTACGGAGCCCACATGGGGTAGGAAGGCAGTAAAAAAGGAACACCTGAAATGTGCAGAAAAGACTTCAGCAGGGAAATTTCAGTGAAGAAAGAGTTAATGCTTTTAAGCAGCTCTCCGTCCTCTTACCATAGATAAGGGTGCATTCTAGTGGCAAAATCCATGCAATGCAGCTGCATAGCTGACTGATCTAAAAAGAAACCTGGGGAATATGAAGCTTTGCAGGATTGTGTGCATGTGCAGAAAGGGGGAGAGAAGGAAGGGGGGGGGACGTGATTTGAAATGCACAGAAACCTCACCCAGAATTGCCTGTTCCCTTTTGATTTCCCGCTCTCCCTGGTAGCCAGCCTTGTGCCTGTGCTGGTGAGAGATCTCCCAGCGCTCACCCAACCGTCCTGCTGCAGCTCCAGGTTTAACATCCTTGTGCACAGCTGCCTGGGCTGGCCACGGGGCTGCACAATGCAATTTTGGAGATTCCCTTCACCGCGCTTCCAGCTTCCCCACTCCTAGCAATGAATGAGCACCGAGGGAGGCAAGTGCGAAGGACCAGGGCCCGGAGAGCTGTAGCACTGAGGAATGCAGCGGTGGAACAAAAGGCAGCAAACTCCAAGCTATCCAAGTACAGGGGATGAGCACTGCAAAGTGCTCTCTTTCTTCTTTTTCCATCTCCCCCTACACTTTGTGCAGGGCAAAAGGCAGAAGAAGAATGAGCTAAAACGTGCAAATTGAAATTTGTATGGCAAAATTCCCCTTGTTTTCTGGCGTGCCCTAAGCAACAGCGAACTTTTCCGAAGAGTAATCTAGCACAGTTCTTACAAGCAGCCTAGCCCTCCCTCCTGCACGCTGTCTGGCCACGTTAACCCTTGTTGTCTGGGGCCGTGGGGGCACAGCCTGTACACCCTCATTGAGTTCTTACCCCTTGCTCAGGACTGGGGAGGCAGGAAGGGAGAGCTGGGGACACTGCACTCATAGAATGGAAGCAAGGTGGGTGAGAGCAGCTCTGTGGCACACATCCAGCCATCTCCCTGCCATGCTCACCTTAGGAGCCGAGGGGTGCTCAGGGTCCCCCCACTTTCTGCAGGTCCTGGGCAGGGCACAGGAGTCCCCATCTCACCAGCAAGACTGCAATCAGTCTCAATAGCACCCTGCAGATGCAATGTACCCCTACCTCCCTAAACTCACAGTTCTCCCACCCAGATGCCCTGCAACCCAATTGCAACCATTTTTCTCCTTCTATATATTCACATATATATTTAAATATATATATATTTAAAACCGTACAGATCCCAACTATTTTTTCCCCCTGCCTCTCCCCTCCCAATCCTCGCCTTCCCCTTCCCCCTCCTCCTCCCCTTGTCTCTCCTCATAATATTATCCTTGATCACTGCCCGGGGTTTGAAGCCCAGAAGTCAGAAGCTGCACACCCCACCCCCACCGGCTCGAGTGTGTACTGATAGGGCCCTGGCTGCTGGCACCCAGTCAAGCTGAGGTGTCATTGGGATCTCAAATTGCAGCTAGGGGCTGGCAGGCAGCCAGGGGCAGTCTATTTAAAAGACAGCCTGTTCTGCAGTATTCAGTCTCTTTAGAAACTTCTCCAGGGGAAAAGTGTTGGGAGATCTACAAAGTGGATTTTTTTTTTCCATTTTCCTTTTTTTTTTTTTTCTTCCCTCTTTCTCCCTGTTTTTTACCGCTCCTCTGCAGACTTTCCAACCAAACACTTCAATTTTGCAGAAAACTTCTTTTTTTCCTTTTTTTTTTTTTTTTCTTTTTGCCATTTTGGGGGGCTTTTTCTCTTTCTCCACTTTTTTTTATTTTTTAATTTTTTTAATTTTTCAAACCTTGGAAGAGGAAAACGAGAGGGTTGAACAGAACCGATCGAAACACCACTTTGCTTCATACCACGCTTCCCAGCAGCTCGCTGCGTCGGGAGAGACTTCTCCTGCAGAAGAAGGGGGAGGGAAGGGGAGCTTTGCATCCCCTCTTCCTTCTCCTGCGCTTTTCTTTTCTTTTTTTTTTCCCCCCTCTTGACTGCTTTGATGCCATAAGAGCAGGACGCTGGGTTTCAAGGAACTTTGCTCCCTTCCCAACCTTCCTCCTCCCATCCCTTTGGGTGCGTGTGCTTGTGTGTGTGTGCGGTCCCATCCCACTCCCCAACCCCTGCAACCTGTAGGCTGCAGCTCCCCGTGCAACCTTCTCTCCCTTTCCCTCCTCCTCCCCTCCCTTTCTCTTTCTGCGCTCCCGCGGATCGCCGTGCAAGTCCCCATTTCCAGGCGAAAAAAGAAAGAAAAAGACTCAAAGCAAACCTAGACCCTCTCCCACAGCTAAAAGAAAAGCGGGAGGCTCTCGCACCTCGAGAATAACCCTCAGCCTGGGGTGCCCGCAAACAGGGGCTGCGCTTTCAGCCGCTTTTCTTTTTTAAATTCTCCAGTTTTCTTTTTTTTCTTTTTCCTCCCCCTCTCCCGGAGGGGCCAAGCGGGAAGCAGACGTCCCCCGCCCCCGCCGGCGGCAGCCCCGCGCCCCGTCCCGCAGCATCCATTCCCCCGCCGCGATGCTGCTGCGGCTCCTGGTGCTGCTGGGCGCCTGCCCGGGGCTCTCGCGGTGCCTGGGTTCCTTCGTTCAGTGCGAACCGTGCGACGGCAAAGCTCTGTCGCTCTGCCCTCCGCCGCCGCTGGGCTGCGAGCTGGTGAAGGAACCGGGCTGCGGCTGCTGCCTCACCTGCGCCCTGCCCGCCGGGCAGCCCTGCGGCGTCTACACCGAGCGCTGCGCCCGAGGGCTCCGTTGCCTGCCCCGCCAGGGCGAGGAGAAGCCGCTGCACGCCCTGCTCCACGGCACCGCCGTCTGCCTCAGCGAGAAGAGCTACCGCGAGCAAGCCAAGGCTGGTGAGTGCCCCGCGGCCGAACAGCCGCTCTCCTCTGCGCCCATCCTCCCGCTGCCCCCCTCCCCTCCATCCCCGCCTGCCTTTCCCTCTTCCGGGAGCGCTTCCGCACCCTCCCGCTTTGCTTTTCCGCCCTCCCGGCTGCTCCCTTTCCAGCTTTCCGCTTGCTTTTCCACTCCCTCCCTCCGGTTGCTCTTCCCTGCCCCCGCCGGCCGCTTTCCCATCCTTCCGGCTGCATTTTCCAGCGGTCCAGGTGCTCTTCTGTGCCCTCGCTCGCTTTTCCACCTTTCCAGCTGTGTGCCGTCCTTCTGTTCTCTTTCCATCCCCAGCTGCTCTTCCTTTCCCCCTCCCCACCATGTTCTTCCATCCCCCTCCACCACCACCACCACCACCACCAGCTGCTTTGCCACCCTTTCAGTCGCACTGCCATCCTTCCGCCCTTCTTCTCCCTCTCTTTCTCACATCCCCTGGCAGCTCTTTCATCCTTATTTATTTACTTATGCTATTTCCTCATCCCTTCCTCTCCCCACTCCTCTGTCGGCTGCCTCCCAAGCCCCCAGTTACTTTTCCAGCTTTCCAGCTGCTCTCCACCACTGCCACTTCCCCTGGTTGTTGTGCCATCCTCCTACTGCTTTACTGCTTTCTCAGCTACTTTCTCATCATTCCAACTGCTCTTCCACCCCTCCCTCCCCCCCCCCCCCCCAGCTCTTTTTCCATCCTCTCAGCTGCCCTTCCATTCCTTCAGACCACTTTACCCATCTTTCCCATCCATGCCCTGGCTGAATCTCCTGTTGCATCATCTCACATCCCCCTGCCTCTGGGTTGACCCATTCCTAGGAGAGTTTTCTTTCCCCACTTCCCAGCTGCATCTGCATCTGAGTCCTTTCCCAGCTGAATCCTTTCCACCTTTCCTTCATCTCCATCCTTGCCCTCTCCCTGACCTCCTTTCTCTCCACCTTGCTCTTGGGCTCTGCAGCTTGAGCTCCAGGGGATCATTGCATCCCTCAAACCCTCCTGCTTTGGCATTCAGACTTTCTCTTTCACCTTGTTGCAGCCTGCTCCTGGCTGCCTGCTGCTGGGCATCTTTGTTGGGCAAAGGGCTTTAGCACTGGGAGGTGAAAAGAGCAGGTGCATTAGGAACAGGGAATCTGAATGCAAAAAAGAATGACAGTGTAGCTAACAGCCAGAAAGAACACATTAAAAGCAAGTATGAAGGCTGGCATGGCAGCACTAGTGCAAAGCCAAGCTGAAATGCTTGCACCTTGCACGTGACAAAAGCACGAACGCAAGTGCTGCTTCACTTGGACGCTCGCTGCACTCCCACTGCAGGATCTGTGGCTGCTTCAGGGTTGGTTTCCCCTGTGCAACACTTCTGTGTTTCTGCCATGGCATACAGGAGGGCAGGGAGGGGTCAAAGGGACCCAGGAAACCACTTGGCAAAAAAAAAAAAAAAAAAAAAAGCAGAACCAAGGCTCCCCAAGTCTTTTTGGCCCAGGAAAACATCATTTTTGCTTGTTAGCAAGCTGCTGCTTCTACCAGCACAATGAGAGTCCACTTCTCCTTTCCAGCACCTAATAAATCTTGATGCATTTAGTATTTTTTCCTTATTGCTACTTGTGCTGTTATGCGCCATCCTTCAGAGCAAACACAATTTCTGTGTGTGTGTGTGTATATACATCAACATATCACTTTCCCTGCATCAAATGACAACAAATGTCTATCCTCCCCTAAAACTGACCAGAAACAGCAAAGCTGAGCTCAGCCTTCTGCAGGGGACCTGGACTAAGCAAGAGCCATGGGATGTGTGGGGAGCAGAGCAGGAAGCCAGGAGCCCTTTTCCCATCCTGAAGTGCAGGAGGTAGCTGAGAACCCGCTCCCAGATGAGCTATGCAGAGCATCCCGCAGTGTGTCACCCGCCGGGTTTATTTCCCTCAGTTGTATGTCTGGGAGGCAGTGTGGTTGGGACAGCAAGCCCTGTAGTGAGGGCAGAGATGAGCCTTGTACACATCGCCAGCGTGCCCTCTGCAGTCTGAAATACCCAACAAACCTTTGTCTCTTAGCTTCTTACATGAATCTCCTTAAGTTCCACCTGCCCGAGGAGTCTGGTCCTTTAGCGGGTGCTCTGCATGCAGAACGTGCCTGGTCTCCTGATAACATTGCTGCTTTTGGTTAGCTTGGGGTGGGAGCACCCTCAGAAGAAACACAGAGGGCAGTAAGACAGAGGGTGCAGGTTTGTTGCAAAACCACTGCTGGCACTACTTGAGCTTTGAGTTTGTACCCGAGTGCCACAGGGGCTCATTTCAGTGGGTTTTGGTTGAGCTCCAGTGGGGGACGCTTTGCAAGAGGCAGAGTGGCAGGTTTCTCCCCAGCTTTGCCAAAAATTTAAAAAAAAATACAAATAAAAAATAAATCAGGAATTCCTGAGGATGGGAGAAGGAAAAAACTCTCTTGGCATTCGGCTGGTAGTGTGTGAGAACAAAGTATATTTTCATAGGCGTGTTCCTAAGCAACCGGGCAAGGAAAGAAATGAAGTTTGACTTGAATGCTCCGGCCTCTGCCAGTTTGGCTAGCAGCACGAGGACTGTGTGCTGGGGGAGCTGGCTGGGCCCTTCGATTTATCAGTGACCAAAATTGGCCCTGAGCTGTGAAATGCTGAGAAAGAATCAGCACTCTGCAGAATGAACTATGGGACAGTGGCAAGGACAAGATCTAACTGCATTTCTATCTATTTCTGCGCTCGTGCTGGCTGAGGTGAAAATCACAGATGCTTTCCTACTTATAGCCAAGGTAGAGGCACAAGGAGAACAGTGCAGGAGCACAGGGCTGGAGGCCAGGCTTGGCTCTGCAGCTGAGCAGATGTTTTGCGTGGGGACAGGATGCTCCTGGGCACTGTGCCTCAGTTTCCTCTTCTGTGAGCTGGGCACAGTGGTGCTGAGAAACGCTATGCAGGATGTGCTGCTGGCTGGCAAATGGGTCGGAAATGAAAGCAAATGTAGGATTAAAGGGCTTTGGTAATGCTTGTTTTAAGTAGGCTGATGTGTAGGTAGTGACAGGACAGTCCCTGTAGTCCTGGCTGGCACAGCAGCCAGACACTGTCCTTTACCGAAAGCCAAACACCACTGCTGCGCTGTAATTGATGTTCCTGTTTTTTTTTTTTTTTTAAAAAAAAAAAAAAAGAAAGAAAGAAAAACCATGAATGAGCTTCATTTATGGCACAAGCTTCAGGATTCTGGGTTTGCTCTGTTTGGTTTAGGTTTTGTTTGAAACTCACCACGTCTTTCCATTCCGCTGCCCTGTGCTCCCGCCAGACTTCCTCCTGCTGACACAGCAAGGTCAGGCCGAGCGCCGGGAGCACGGGGCACCGAGCACAGCCTGCCGCCCCAAACGGGCTTCTGGAAAAACAAAGGTTGTCAAATATTTCCTTCTCCTCTGCCGTTCCTTCGCTTTCTAGAAAGCAAGCGAGACTTGGCAAGTTTCCCCACGAAACCGTGAGCCAATGATAACCAGGAGGGGAAGGGAGGGGGGGGGGGTGTGCAGAATTAGCGCTAAGAAAATTGTCTTTGCTGCGTCAGCTGGAAGCAGGAGGAGGAGGAGGGCTGCAGAACCCAGGTTTTCTGCAGCTTGCATTGGGTGCAGTCCCTCATCCAGCCTGACACATTCCCCACCCGGCTTCTCTTCCTCCTCCCTTGGCTCGGAGATGCAGGATGTGGATATAGGGTTTTGAGGTGGGCAGCAGCTATGGGATTGGGGTGCAGAGCCAAGCACACGATCCTTTGTGCAAAGAGCTTCCGACCTGTCAAGGCAAAAGCTACAGAACAGGCCTGCAAAGCCTCCTGTCCAAAACAGGAAAAACCCCATTTTTCTTCTCATCTGAAGTTTCAACAACAATATCAATATATTAAAAAAAAAAAAAAAAAAAAAAAAAAAGGTGAAATCCATCAGGTGCCAGCAAGAAAGCTGGGTTTCTGTGGTGTGCATGTATGGGGGTGGGAGCAAGGGGTGGTTCAAACAGGAAAGGAGGGGCCTTGGCTGGAGAGTCTTTTCGGCAGCCTGGTTTCTAAGGAAGAAGCAAGAATATTAAGTAGCTGATCCAAACGAAATTCCTGCCTGGTGCCAGCAAAGTTCACCGGAGCAGAGACGTGGCTCTGTGCGTGCGTGCGTGCGCGAGTGATGGAGCGACTCCAAGCTCCCGCGCACGGCTGTCAGCCTGGACCGGCTCCCAGGGAGCCCGCCCAGAGCTGTACCACTGCCTGCAGTGCTTGGGCTGGCCTTACATGGGAGCCTCTGCAGCTAGGAGGGATGCTGGAAGCAGGCAGTGTGCCTCCTGCCGTCAGTGCTCGCGTACCAGCATCCCGTGCCTGGCACACGTTTGGCACACGCATGTCGGTATAGCAGGGAGGAGAGGCAGTGAGTCGGCTGTACTTGCACGCAGAGCACGGTGCTCTGCTTCCTCCTAACGTCCACTGCGAGCTTTGCTCCCTGCACTGAACGGCTCTGAGCCAAGCTGTTACGGCCGTGGTGGCTCCCGGTGCTCCTCACCCAAACTGGGAAGGCCGGCAGCAGAGGACAAGGCGTAGAAAAATGTTGTGACTTGTTTTGCACTCGCACTAACTCAGGGCAGATATAATAGCCCATAGTATGGCAAATCTTGCCTGCATTTTTTCCCTAGTAGTGTTAATTCAAGGTCAGACATAAATGAAAGGGGAACTTGGTTTGAGCACACCTGCCCCTCAACGTGGGCTGCTGAGCAGCAGAGTTATTATGCACAGGGAAGATACGCATGTGAACATACACATACATGTACCCATGTTCACACACCCACACATGCCTGCACAAACATTTTATGTCTGCAGCATTTTTGTCTCTGGGGGCAGAATGGTTTCCTGGAAGCACGCATAAATCTCTCTTACGTGGTTCTGCTTAATGACTAGAACATGGGTGTTTGGCCATAAAGATCAGATACTGACACATAGAGCAGCCTACCCTTTCCTCCCACTGAGGACT